CAATACCCAAGGTCAACAGGGTCTTATATCATTTGTCTCTCTGCCTCCCCACTTCCTTTCCATCCCTGAACTCCTAGGGTCCGCATATTCTCTCTCCTTCTTCTGAACTGATGTGATAGTTCATTTATGCACCCACAGTACCTCTCACGTTGCAGCACAGAACTTTGTTTCGTGTGTACCTGTCTTATCTGTAAGGTACCTGAAGACAGGAACCAAGTGTTATTTATCTCCGCGTGACTCAAATGACAATTGCTGCCACATTATGGCTGACGAAAAACAGAATCAATGAGTAAAAACTAGCTGCATACTAAGTTATGGTAGAGTGGTTTATAACATGCAATCTTAAAAAAACACAGGTTATTCAATGAATAATTATTCAGAAGAGGAACCTCATCTTTATATAGACAAATTCAGTTATGAATTTGTTTAAGGCAGTTCTTACATTTATTGTGTACATTTTTCCTATGTCAACTACACCTAATAATAATGCTCAAGAAATGTAACCCCCTGCTCCCAAATAATCACAGCAACAAATAAATAAACCTGTCAGGTAACGAGATGGATGAACAAGCCAGAAAGCCCCCCATGGTCTCATGCAGGGTTAGATGATGGCATCTGTTGCCCTGTGGCCTCCTTACCCCAGTGTCAGTCCTGAGCCCCTTTATTCTACCTTCCGTTCACCGAGCTTTCACCACTGCCTGACCCTGAGGAACTTAGGGGAAGAAGCACATTACTCCAGATAAGAGAAGTTTGTCCTGCAGGATCACCTCACAAGAAGAAGAGCCCTGGCCAGTGTGGCTCAGCTGGTTGAACCATCATCCTGTAGCCAAAGGGTTGCGGGTTCAATCCCTGGTCTGGATGTGTAAAGAAAAGTTATTTAACTTCCAGCCAAGATGGAGGCATAGGTAGATAGACTTTGCCTACTTGCATAACCAAAAGAAGGACAACAACAAATTTAAAAACAAAAAATAACCAGAACTGCCAGAAAACCGAACTGTATGGAAGTCCAACAACCAAGGAGCTAAAGAAGAAACATTCATCCAGACCAGTAGGAGGGGTGGAGACACGCAGCTGGGGCAGAGAGGACATGCAGCAAGGTGGCAGCTGGCGGACCTTGTGGTCCCACATTTGTGTGCAAATGAACTGGAGGAACAGCTGGGGAGCAAGAGAGGCCAAGCAATCCAAAGCTCCAGTGAGGGAAAAGAAAGCCTCAAAACCTCTGGAGGTAAAAACCTGTGGGGTTGTGGCAGCAGGAGGAACTCCCAGCCTCACAGAGTCCATTGGAGAGACCGATAGGGTTCTAGAATGTACACAAACCCACCCACCCAGGAATCAGCACCAGCAGGGCTCAATTTGCTTATGGGTAGCAGGGAAAGTGACTGAAAGCCACCTAGAGCTGAGCAAGTGGCATTGTTCCCTCTCAGACTCCTCCCCCACAGACAGCAGCACAACAATGCTGCGACCTGGGTTGCCCCTCCCTGGTGAATAACTAAGGCTCCACCCCTTCCAATGAAACAGGCACGCTGAGACAAAGAAATATGGCCCAAATGAAAGTACAGATCAAAGTTCCAAAAATAGAACTAAGTAATGAACAGATAGCCAACCTATCAGATGCACAGTCCAAAACACTGGTAATCAAGATGCTTACAGAAATGGTTGAGTGTGATCACAAAATGGAGGGAAAAGTGAAGGCTATGCAAAGTAAAGTAAAGAAAAATATAAAGGGAACCAACAGTGAAGGGAAGGAAACCAGGACTCAAATCAACGATTGGAAACTGAAGGAAGAAATAAACATTCAACCAGAACAGAATGAAGAAATAAGAATTCAGAAAAAATGGGAAGAGACTTAGGAACCTCCGGAGCAACTTTAAATGTTCCAACATTTGAATCATATGGGGTGCCAAAAGGAGAAGAGGAAAAGCAAGAAATTGAAAACCTATTTTAAAAAATAATGAAGGAGAACTTCATTAAGCTTAGAGAGTCCCAAAGAAGTTGAATCCAAGGAAGCACATACCAGGGCACATTTTAATTACATTACCGAAGATTAAAGATAAGGAGAGAATCTTAAAAGCAGCAATAGAAGACAGTTACCTACAAAGGAGTTCCCATAAGACTGTCAGCTGATTTCTCAAAAGAAACCTTGCAGGCAAGAAAGGGCTGGAAAGAAGTATTCAAAGTCATGAAAGGCAAGGACTTCCATCCAAGATTACTGTATCCAGCAAAACTATCATTTAGAATGGAAGGGCAGATAAAGTGCTTCCCAGATAAGGTCAAGTTAAAGGAATTCATCATCACCAAGCCCTTATTATATGAAATGTTAAAGGGACTTATCTAAGAAAAAAAAAGATCAAAAACTATGAACAGTAAAGTGACAACAAACTCACAACTATCAACAAATGAATCTAAAAAAAAAAAACTAAGCAAACAACTAGAACAGGAACAGAATCATAGAAATGGAGATCAGGTTGTGGGGAGAATGGGAGAAAATGTACAGGGAAAAAGAAGCATAAATCGTAGGTACAAAATAGACAAGGGGAGGTTAAGAATAGTATAGGAAATGGAGAAGCCAAAGAACTGACACGTATGACCCATGGACATGAACTAAGGGAAAGGGGGAATGCTGGTGGGAGGGGGTGGAGGGGAATAAAGGGGAGAAAAAAATGGGACAACTGTAAATATATATATAAAATACCTAAAAAAAGAAAAGTTGTTTATGCCAACATTGACTGACATGACTAATCTCTGACTTTGCTTGGTTGCGTGAACAGTCTTTAAAGATCCAGCCATTCTTTTCCTATGGTGGTAGAAAGTTGCAAAGTACACATGGGGCAACAAGAGTCACAGTCCCTGTGTCACTATGAGAAAGAATACAAGTGATATTCTGTGAATGTAGAGGAGGGAGATTCCACAATGCTGAGGATTAAACCAGCAATTGAAGGCCATCCTCAGAAGAACAGCCTAAGAAGAAAGAGTATGGAGGTGTCCATCTGCTCTTGGTGTTACGGATTCTGTAAATGAGTGTGGCCTTAGTGACGTCACCAAAGATCATATCACTCTAAGGTCCTATTACTAAGAGAATCGCAACTTTTCCCCTCTGGACTCCTATTAGTTTTACTTATTTATACACTGAGTGCTGCCTTGGCATGATTCGCTCCTCAAGTGACAAATGAACCTGGCTTTCTGGAACATGAATGCCACCCCCTACTTTTCCAGGGCTCTGCGCTTGCCGTCCGAGGAGTGAACTTGGCTTGTAGCCTCTCCTGGGGGAAGTGGGGAGTAGCCCTTGGAATTCCTGTTGCTAATAATGCAAACTGCCTCCATTCAACTCATCTGGGAATGGGAAGATACTAGGCCAGGGGGAGAACTAATTATTTTGCTGAATAATGAGAGTCATAAGGCCCGGGGCAGACGTTGCCTACACGAAAACAGAAATCTGTTTCCTGCACGTCCTAGGCGAGGGCCACAGCTAGGGTGAGTAACCCCAAGAGCCCCCACCTTAGCAGCCTAGTGACGGTCCTAAGGCTGTATCCCGAGATGGACAGCTATGCCTACTCTCTGTTCTCTCACCCCAGGAAGCTTATGAAAATGGAAGAGAGTGAGTATGACTTTATTATATGAATACCTCTGAATGTAGTTTATATTTTAAGTAAATATAAAATATTTAAGTAAATTATTTGAAAACTTCAATACTTTATTATCAAAAATAAGTTTCTCAAGTGAACTGATAGCCCAGGTTTGAGAGAGAGAACAAACATTTCTTTTATCAAAGCTATGATCCTGGGAAGCAGGAGGGAGTAACCATCCTCTGCCACTCGGCTTTGCAGCCCCGGGCTGAGCAGGCCATCCAGATCCCATCATCTAAGTGTGTGTTCTCAAAGGACTTTTAGGTAGAAGACTATGGAAGGGCCTAACATGAGCATGCACCTTCTACCCTGCTCCTCCAAGGGTGGCTTGCTGACCAGTGGGACTGGTAAAATTGGCATCACTGGGAGGCTGGTTAGAAATGCAGGACTTCAGAGCTCACCCCATTCTTGCTGAATCAGGATCTGCATTTTAATAAGATCCCCCACTGATTCTTACATACTTTGGAACTGAGTTGACAAATTACAAATTCGTCTCGCTCAAACATCTCTCCCGGTTACTATAAAATCCCCACGTCAATCAGCCTTCCCTCCCAGCATCAAATATAAGAACGCGATGTAAAGCAAATCAGCAGCAGAGTGAACTTGCAGAGCTCTCAAAGATGTGGGACTTCACAGACTTAACAGACGTGATCTTGGAGAGCTACTCAAATCACATGCAAGGCATCTGGCAGGGAGAAGATGGCAGCCTTAGGCCCTTTGACGAGCGAAGAGGAGCTAATCTGCGAGAACGGTGACGTTCCTTCAAAAGAGAATGATTTGAACATCAAAGAATGAAGACAGGCCCTTGGGAAAAATGATGAGGCTCATGAATATCTTTGTAAAAACGACCCAATTTATGACTGTGCTATGAAAGTCAAACATAAAATTTTGTTGAAAAACTGTGCTCAAAAAGAAATCAGCACTTCCGTCTTCCGTCATTCTAAGGAGGAGCACATTGTTTTAATGATAACGTAAATGATGTTATGTTACTGATATTATAAGTTACTTTCCTATGTTTTAGTTCCATCTTTCAAGACAGAGTCTAATGGAAGCTTGTTATTGCTACTTCTCATGCTGTTCGGCCCTTGTGTAAGGGCGCTCCTGCGGCGTACACTTTCCCAGAGGTGGCGTTCCTCCCCCGCCCGCCCCCCAGACCCGCTGATCTCCAATGCGCACTGCGGCGTATTCTTTTTCTGTTTCCCTATGGGACTGTTTTTTGTTGCCTGTGACCAGTATGGGATAAACAACATCAGCTTACACCCCAGCCCAGTGAAGCATTCTCACTGTCCTGTTGCCTGGTTGGGTGTTGGAGCACACTGCGATGTCACAGAAGGCGGTTCGCCAGGGGCAGGAGGCAGGTATGTATCCCGGGGTTACCTTATGGACCACGAGCAAGTTCTCCAGCGCCCTTCCATTTTCGCTGGCAACATCACCCACCTCTCTCAGCTCTGGGCAGGATCTCTCACACCTCCTGGGCAATCATTTCTCTACACAAAACACTCCCACAGGCTAGGTCAGGAGAAGACCTTTCCAGAGAAAATCCTACCAGGCCTACATCAGAATGGAACGCGACAGCCACAGCCACAAAGGAAGTCTGCAAATAGATGCTTATCCCTTCTCAGCTTTTGCTTTGATCTACATGCACTTGAAGCAGAGAAGAAATTGTGAGCCATGAATCACTGTAGGATTATAGAGGGCGTGCTGTTTACTTTTCCTTGAGACTCGGGGCCAAATGTTGAAAGGGGTGCGTAAGCACCTGAACATTCCTGTACACAGAAGCAAGGGCAGGGCATTAGCCTCCGTTGTCTTTCTTTTCCTGCGGGAGGACTTTGCTCCCTAACCAGGTGCTCTCTCTTTAGGATTCCCAGATTGGAGTATCAACACCCCTTTGGCCCTTCTCTGGCTTCGGCCTGCCATTTCCCCTCTCCATCCCCGCGCTGGCCCAAAGCTGCGCCTCGGAGAGCTGGAGCTGTCCTCTGCCCCTCAACCCTCACCCCATGAGCGGGAGGACTCTAGTGAGAAGAAAGAATATATTCCAAAAACTCCAGCAGTACCTTGGGATACAGGGATGGGGTTGGGGTGTGGAGTAAAAATGGCAGGACTTTCTTTAAAGCTTCCCTGCTCTCGTGATTATGGGTTTCACAGAGGACGAGTGAGACAACAGAATGTTGTCAAATACCAAAGCACACGACCTCCAGGGAAAGGATTCAGAATTAAAATTTTCATAGGTGACTACAAAATTAAAAAGGGAACCCATGTGCGTACCTGTTTGATGGGCAGTGTTTATCCTCATTGCAGATGCCATGGTTTGTAGTCATACTCAGCGATCCTCATTTGGGCTCTTCTTCTCAGCTGTTCATTTGGGTCAACCTAATTGAATTAGAGAAGAGAGGATTTCACCCACTTGATATTTGCTATTCAAACCAATGCCCAGAGGGACCCAGAGATATTAAACATGTTGAAAATGGGATTGTCTTTTCCTGTTGCTCAAACCATTTTAAGGGAAATTTATATTTTTCTCCTTAGAGAAGCCAAAGTTTCAACTTTCATATTAGTGACATCCCACCCATCCGTCAATTGAGCCCATTTTTAGTTCTAAATTCTAGGACAAATACTCCCCAGTTACTGCTCTTGCCTTCCTTCCCTCCTCTGAAAAGTGAACCCTCCTTCCGAGACTGAGGTTGCTCACCTTGGAGAGAAACAATTGCTGAAGGATTGAGAAGTATCATTTCCAAATGAACACACAGAATAAATGCCAAAGAAATGCAGGTCAACTTTGTATTCATAAGTTGAAAATGCAATGTTTAGTTCAAGTAACAGACTTTGAGGTGTAGATATATTCTATATCATTGCGTTGCTTTTGACCATTTTGCTAGAGAAAATTTCTTCAAGTGGCAGATTGCAAGTCTAGGTCGCCCACCTGCTGGATTCTCAAGACCCGGACTTTCCCCTTGTGGGGATGGCTTCTCACCCAAGATCACCCTGTCAGCAGCGGTGTTTCCTGAGCTCGCTGCTCTGGCAGGTTGTTGAAGGCATTCCCAACTGTCACCACAAATTCCTCAAAAAAATTTCACTGGGTCCCATCAAAACGATACCAATCAAGACAATAGCGTGAATTTTTCCTAAAGTTAAATGTGTTTGATTCAAAGCATTCCCTTTTGAGAGTGTTTTTAAAGTCAGTTTATGGTATAACAAGACTGATTTTTTTTTTTTAAATGACCTTAATCAACAAGTAAAAAGTTCGCAGCCCTGTGTGAGTCCCCTAAATTTCCTTTTAGAACAGAACTGGGTTATGAAACCAGTGGTCTCTTGGCAATTAAAAGCACACTGCCTGGACATTCATCAACGTGTTACAGTCACCAAAAGTGCCTCGTTGTTGCTGCTGCTGCTGTTTTAAGAAAACCCCTGTCGCGACCCTCGCCTTCTCTGGACCCACTCTGCCAGGTGAGCAGGAAAGCTCCTCCGATATCGTCACAGGCTCTTGCCGTTCCCTAGTCTGGTTGATTGCAAAAGGTTGTGGCTTGGAATTTAAATGACTAAATGGACAAGCTTTACTTCAGATATTTGTCAGGCAGTATCATTTTGAGCTCATTGTTGTTTTTATAACTACTCTTAACAAAAGCTTGGTTCAATGCTTGGTTAGTCTACATGACTAACATTTACCAATCCCCTTCAACATACCACACACTACACTAAGTGTTGGGACTTCAGAAATGATGGCCTTTTCACCTGAAACTAATAGAAAATAATAGTGAATATAAACTGTAATTGAAAAATAAAATGTAAAAAATGCTTGCCTTGGCAAAGTTTGTGGTCTACACAAGGAGGCAAACTCATCACATACGAACTATACGACAATGTGATACGCAGGGTGATGGTGGAATTAGGAACAGCAAATCATGGCCACTCCAAACAAGCATCTCAAACATTCTCGGGAGCAGGAAGAACGAGGGCTTTCTCGAGGTGGTGACGCCCCATTGAGATTTTGCCTTATTTCAGTCCTCAAATATGTTCTGCTCCTTCCATTTCAGGGCCTTTGCTCATAGCATTTTCCTGCCTCGAAAGCAACTCCTTCCCACCGTCCCCTTCCCCTCCCCCGATTTAAACATCCCTTCACCAGAGAAGCAGCTCTTGGCTTCCGAGACTAGGAGGGGCCCCTCTGCCTCTGTGCACATGGCACCTGTCCTTTTCCTTCACAGCACTAGTCACGTTATCACCAGACAGCTGGTGTGTCACCCTTCTTTTCTGTCTTCCCTATAGGCTACGCTCCTGAGGGCGGGGCCATAGGAGGCCATGGTTTTCTGTTCATCAACAAATCACCAATTTCTAGGACAAGTCCTTCCAGGTACTAAGTACTCAACTAATATTTGTTAACTGAATTAATAACTTTAAGATAGGAATTAGTTATGGAAGGATGTGGGGGTGGGGGTGGCTGGAAAGCACGGGACTAAGACAGGGATGCTGGGCAGGAAGGACACCATGAGCCAAGTCCTAAGGCAGCAAATCCCCCGAATGATGTCTGCACAGCAGAGGCAGGGGGTGGGAATGCCAGGCTCTGAAGATAAGGCCAGGGCAGGGAGGGCCTCTCAGGCCACGCTGGGGAGGAACAGTCACCATCTCACGTGACGTGAGCTCCTTCATTCATTCAACGAATATTTAATCAGCAGTTACTGTGTGCCAGATGCTATTCCAGGCACTGGAGATCAAATGAGTGTTTCTTATCTGGAGTTCAAATTTTAATCAAAATTCTATTCCTTAGGGTAAGGCCTCTGTCTCATTGATTTCAGGAACTGCACGGTACCTAGCAAAATGCTGATACAACGGGCACCCAGAACTTCATGGCAGAAAAGAAAAAAATGAAAGAATGGAGGTGATGAGATGGCAGAACAACCCCTGACGCCAACAGAACTGAAGACAGGGGTCGATCAGGAGCCAGCCTGGACCAGCCTCGTGCTAGCCAGGCCCTAGGCAGTTCCCCGCTCCCGCACCCTTGGGAGTCCCGTGATGCTTTGTTTACGTTTCATTATCCCCATGACTCTCGCATGAGCCCGCACTGGAGACCAAAGAGGAGGCAGTGCCAGCGTCTTTGCTGCAGATGCAAAGTGGAGAAGGATGGGCCCTCATTCGGGCTGTCCAGGCTACGTAGAGGAAAAATGACCCCTAGTGTCTAAGTTGGATCCTTGAACTCATTTTTCCCAAAGACCTATTGCTAAACATAGCAACTAGGTTCTCTAGTACTGTTACCATTGTGTTTCAGACAGATTTTTGCCCAGAGAAAATTGTGAGGGTTGGCTTGGGGATCTGAAGACCTATAATAATGTTTCTCTAAGAAAAATGCTCTCCTGATGTCTGGCTTTTAGGCTTTCCAAAGCTAAATATAATAAACTGCCTGTGTTGCATGTTCCCTAGGTATACACTTGGCCTAGAGAAAGCCCTTGGGACCAGGGCTACGCCTTGTTGGAATCCTCCTCCAGGAACTGTACACAGAGCAGCACTTAAAGCCACTCCTTGCTCATCATGTGTGTTGAGCAAGAAGCTAGAAACTAAAATTATAGTGTCTGATTTGATCTCGCCCACAGCAGTTTTGGAAAGTTTTGACCATAAATGCAAATGGCCTTTGCTGTCATGCAGCTTCATGCCCAAGGCTTCTGTATCATTAACCCAAGGATTGCACCACAGGCCCTGGCTGGGTAGTTCATTTGGTTAGAGCGTCATCCAACGCCAAGGTTGCAGGTTTGAACTCCGGTCAGGGCATGTAAAGGATCAACCAATGTACGCGTAAATAAGTGGAACAGAGAGCTGATGCTTATGTCTCTCTCAATCTTCCTCTCTCTCTTGCACTCTCTCTCTCTCCACCTCCCCACCCACTTCCTCTCTCCCTCTAAAATCAATAAATAAAAATTTAAAAAAAAAAAGAATTGCGCCACACAGAAGACTGTAGGAGTCTGTAGGAGTCCAGTTAGTTCGGGGAAAGAGATTTCATTACACGTCATCTGGCTATGGCCTGTAGCCAGGTCTGTCAGACACTGGTTCACCCAGTGCTGAGGAACTTTCTACATTTGGCTTGTGGCCCTGAGGGGAGACTGCATATTTGGCTTTCTCCAGCTCTTCACACTTTCACCTTTAACTCGCTCACTGCTGGTGTGGTTGGGAGAAAAAAAAATTGAGCATTTCCTCTTAATTGATTTTTTTTTTCCTGGTTTTTATTTTTTGGGTCTTTTGCTGCCTATCTCCAGCCTTCACTGCATTCAACTTTAAACTTCTTCTTTATTATTATTATTATTATTATTTGCATTGACGTTGATGTTCTTCATGCCCCTTTGGTTCTCAGCATACCCTTTCTACCCTAATTTTGTTCAGTTTCCACTGTAAGAACTGCATTTCCTTCTCCAGTCTGCAGTCACATCAATAAGCACAATGACACCGGCTGGGTAGGTCAGGCTGCTCCTCTTATGCCGACCTCACTTTCCCAGTGTTTCAGTTTCACAGGTTTCAGTTATATCTGCTTTACCCGGCGTCCTGGCTATGCATCCAGATGAGCACTAGCGATCTCCTCCACCAGGACTCTCTGTGCAGAGTGCTCGTGTGCTTAATATCTGCAAAGCAACCCACATTGCCTTGAGTGAGGAGACATGGAGCCAAGGCAAGGCGGCAACCTGTATTCATTTTCCCTGTCTCAGTACTTGACACATGTCTGGCCACTATGTTTTGCAACAACTCATGCAGGAGCCAGCTCTGGTTACCGTGCAGCCTTGAAGAATGAAGGATGCAGGAGTCGCTGCAACTTCTGGAGGGGCAGTACGCCTGGTGCGGGAGCTCTGGGGCCCAGATGCTGTTCTTGAAGCAGTGGGTGTACCAGCGTGTTCCATGGTTCCAGCGCTTGTTTTGACCGCCACATTACCATCTTTTCACCTGAAGGCCAGCTCTGCCAAGTAGAATATGCTTTTAAGGCTATTAACCAGGGCGGCCTTACATCAGTAGCTGTCAGAGGGAAAGACTGTGCAGTAGCTGTCACAGAGAAGAAAGTACCTAACAAATCACTGGATTCCAGCACAGTGAGTCACTTATTCAAGATAACCTAAAACATTGGCTGTGTAATGACAGGAATGACAGCTGACAGCGGATCCCAGGTACAGAGGGCCGCTATGAGGCAGCTAATTGGAAATACAAGGATGGCTATGAGATTCCTGTGGACATGCTGTGTAAAAGAATTGCTGCTATTTCTCAGGTCTGCACACAGAACGCTAAAACGAGGCCGCTTGGTTGCTGTATGATTTTAATTGGTAGAGATGAAGAACAAGGCCCTCAGGTGTGCAAGTGCGGTCCTGCAGGCTCCGACTGCAGGTTTAAAGCCACTGCAGCAGGAGGAACACAAACCGAGACAGCCAGCTTTCTTGAAACAAAGGTGAAGAAGAGATTTGATTGGACATTTGAACAGACAGTGAGAACTGCAATTACACGCTTGTCTACTGTTCTAGCAATTGATTTCAGACCTTCAGAGACAGAAGTTGCAGTAGTTACCGTTGAAAATCCTAAATTCAGGATTCGTACAGAAGCAGAGATCGACGCTCGCCTTGTTGCTTTAGCAGAGAGTGAGCAAGCATTGCAGTTAGCTCACCAAACCCAGGACACCACTCGCTTGTGTGTTTGGTAACAACAGACCAACGTGACGGTGGACCCTGGATTGAAAAAGGAACCTCTCCCACTCCTCCTGCCCCTGAAGTGGTTAGGACTCTCTAAAAATAAAAGCAGTGCTTTTGGAAAAACAAAAAAACAAAAACAAAAAAAAAGAATGAAGGATGCATGCCTCCAGTCCTGGGCACGCAATCAGCTCAGCCAAGGATCCCTTCCCAGCACATGTGGAAGAACGGCGCTCTTTTTACAAGTTGGAAAATCTAAGCCAGGGAGAGGTGAAGATGAAGTCCGCACGTCTGTCAGCACCGTCAGCACCATTGCCGTCCTCTCTTTTGTCTGTAATAAACGGCCAATAGGACATATATTTTATAAATGTAGGTAGACCTATTAAGAACAAATATGTTAATATGAAATTATTTAATAAATGAATATCATATACTGTATTTTGCCGTGTACAATACGCTCCTGTGTATAATGTGCACCCACATTTATGGCCCGCACTTTCAAGAAAAACATCTCCGGCTTTAATTTTTGAATTCAATAATTTATTTATTTATATTTAGAAATAAAACTGATTATCGTATTCCAGGGTAGTACTTTGCATACCGATATCATTAGTGCTTTCTAGGGTTACACTTTTAGTGCATAAGCATAAATAAAAGAAGTAAAAAGATTTGTATAGATCTAGAATTAGTACTACCCATGTATAATGCGCATCCTTATTTTTCCCCTCAAAAATACGGGCAAAAGTGTGCATCATACACAGCAAAATATGGTAATTCGCATCTTTTACAAGTTTAATAATAATAATATCTATTCGCCGGGCCCTGTACAGCTAAAACTTGCGTCACATAACTAGAAAAAGCCCATGGGTGAAATGGATGTAAGCATTCCCTGTTCACTGAAGAGTAAACAGAACATGGAATGTCTCTGGGCCGCGTGCGCTGGGTCAGCGGTTGCCAGAGTCAAGACTGAAACTCTAGCCTTCCGCCAGAGCCTGCGCTTCTCCGTCCCATCATGCTGCCGTGAGCAGGAAGGGGACACAGGAATTTCACAGGTAACGCGTGGATTGGAATGACATTTCACTTTAAGGAGAGCGCTTCCTAGAAGAGTTCAGAGGCTCTGAGGAAGTCTGCTATTTTAAAACAATATATATATTTGTCAAACCAAGGAGCACCATTTGAAGATGTTAGGTAAGTAAGGTTCCGGTGATAGCCTGGTGGTAGCAGGAGGGGTTGTGGAGCACTGTCCCCACTTGTCACCTTGCATTTACATTTAGATAAGACCTGCTAGGGAATTGTATAGCCTATTGCAAGGATAAGCTGGAGTTGGTGTGATCTGAAACACAGGCTGTTTCTCTCTCTCTAAAAGGCAAAGGCACGGTATCTAGGACTGGGGTCTGAAAATGTATGTGAGAACTTTCTAGCCCTAAGAGTTCCCATCCGGCTAGTAGGTCACAGCGCTTCTAACATGAACCGCAGCTTCACAATCAGCATGAAAGTCTACAATTACAGCCATTCTCTGGAATCCTCTCAGCAAAGGAGGACATTCCTTGGCTGGTTTAGAAAAACCAGTGCAGATTTGCACGGGGAAAGGAATGCAGTCTGGAAGAATGGCCAATGATTTACAGATTGTCTCCTATTAACTAAAAAAGAATACGGACAGGAGGCTGAAAAACACCATTCTGCCACAGGCTCAGAAATGCTCCCAGGAGAGGCAGTGTGACTGAGAAGGCAGGGGCGTGGCGGCAGCAGCGAATGGAAAACAGAATTAAATGGAAGAGCTGGAACCAGGAGTAACCTAGCATCTTAATCTAATCCCTTAGGTCTTCATAGCTGTTGTGCCTTTCCCGGAAGATTCCCTACTTATCTCAATGGGTGAAAAAATGTAACAGACTCAGTGGGGTCAGGCAGAGGGGCACAATTTCCATCTCAAAGATGACGAGACTGAGTTTCGGTGAGGCCAAGCGTTTTGTCCAGGGCCATGCGGCTGCGGGGAGGCCCAAGTGGAGGAGCAGCCTTCCGACTTCTAGGCCTGATTCTGATTTCCACAAGGCAGCTGCCTCTCTGCAGGGGGGAGCCTGTCTTGAGCTGGCGCCTAGGGCAGTGGGATTGACTGAGGGAGGGCCAAGCAGGCGGAGCTCCCCTGGCTGCTCCCCGAGTAAGACGATGGGTGAGGCGGACAATGGCCGGCAGGGCCGGGGCCTGGACTCCGGGAGGAAGCAGCTGGGGAGGTCCAGGGGCAGTGTGGGCGAGAACTGGGCTGACACAGGGTTCAGAAGATGAATGGGGAGATGGAAATTTGGAGACTGAAAGGAAAAGGCAGTGGACAGTGCATGGGAGGAAGGGCAGTGGCCTGTGGAAAACCACCCAGAGACCTGCTGCTGCTGAAGCCAGGGCTGTGCTGTCACCGCCCACTCTCTCCAGTCGCAACTGCTTCCCAGCCCCAGCAGAGATGCCTCATGGCTCCAACGCTCACAATCGCTGCGCAGCCTCGCTCCGCAGGTGACACGTAGAGATGCCCCATGCGAGGCGTGTCAAAGGCCAGGGACACCTGACTCAGGTGCCAGAGGAGGTGTCCGAGGCCTGCCCCGTGCTCACCTCCTGGATATTCTGCTTTGCCTGGCTGTCAGAGGGACGCATAATTGTCCCCATCACTTTCATGTTGCCACAGACAACAAGGGCTTTGTCCAGCGCATCTGTGTTTATTCCCACTAGGCCATGACAGGCAACAGATTCTGGAACTTGTGCTTGCTGCCATAATGTATCTCTGTCACTTTCAAATGCCCAGGGTTAGAGGCCTAGAAAAAAATACACAAATATATTAAAATTATAGTAGCAGGAATAGATGATCACTTTAGTCCTCACAGCAAAGGAAAACAATGTATCTAAGTCTTTCACCTGAGAAGCATATGAGGACTGGGGCATCCTGACATATCCACAGGACTGTGAGCCCATGAGCAGAAGCTCAGTTTGCCACATTTTGGAACATCCAGTCCCTATTGCGTGTACCTGGAATTGACGATGTATCGATTATACTGGGAGAAAGATGAAGAAAACCCATAACAACTGTCTTTTCAGGGATAATAATGATTTTAAAACCAGAACATTACAGAAAGTATGAGAAGTTTATTGAAGCTCAGATAAATAGAAATACCTTGCATTAACTAACCTTTTTATAGCTTCAAAACACTTTCATAATTAAGATTTCATACATAATTGATAGCAAATGACAATACAAATATATTGAATACACCTCAACTCTTCCCAAAACACAGATGACATTGAAAGAATAATAACAGCTGTATCTTTTGTGCGCAAATCCATACCCCAATTCTATGAGATATATACTATTACCCTCATTTTATTGATACTGATACTCTGAAAGGATAAACAGATTGCCCAAGGCCACAAAGATAATAAGTTCTGGAGCTGGAATTATAGTTCTTTAGATTATTAAATAATGACATTAACTTTGCCTTTTTTGTCCTGTCACCTAGAAGTGGCCCTGGTCAAATGTGGTCTTCAAAGAAAAGCCAAGTGAAACTTTAGACCAAAGTTCTGGAGATTTTACTCTTAAATAAAATTCCTGTTGAAGAATTTTCCACTGTACTGCCTTCCCTGTTCCCTGCAGCTGCTGAATGTATTTCCAAATATCTTTAAGTATGGATCTCCGAATCCATCAACATCTTCACAACAAAATAATTTGTTTTTAAAATTATGACCTATCCTTCTAAATCTAATTTTTGTGTGTTTGAGGCAGGTTGTCAGAAATTCAAACAAAACAGAAGGGACCCTGATCGTCTAAAAAGTCAGCACAAATAAGTCTTCATTTTTTGCCTTTCTGATGGTATACACAAGACATTGCAAACTCAGCACCTGAACATGCACAGATTATCTCGAAAGTGCAGTAAAGAAGCCAATCACCATGGTTTCCCCAAAGATGGGGACTGGGAGACATAGAGACTGGGCTGGAAGAGAGAGATTTACTCTTCACGATATACTCTCAGTGTGGTTTAAATGTTTTTACCATATGCATGTGTTAGCAACTTAAAAATAATAATTAAAAGAAATCACAAGGTGTAGTTCTTAGTCTGGGTTCAGTTAAAGAACTTTTGGGTGCCTTCAAGGTCCGACCCCTGAGCTGCTTGGAAGACTCAACCACTGCTCCTTGATAGACAACGGTGTGGAAGAATATAAAGTGACAACGTGGAGCATTATTTTGTGTGAGTTCACTTGAACAAAGAACTTTTCTGCAAAATCCCTAGAGCCCCCTTGGCTGTGAATGGCAAATTGGCTTTGACTCAAATCCTTTTATAACAAGCAATCAACTAAATCCAAAGGTATGCCATATAAAATGTTGATGTATTTTGCTCTACTCTAACATAATGAGCTAGCCACTTCAAGGAAACAAAATAGGACAGTGATGAATTTTTTTTTCCTTAATGAGCTTGGGGATAATTATCATCATGTTGGTAACTGTTACTGGAACAGCAGATGTAAGTAGATTTAATTTTTTGGAACTATTACAACAATCTCACTTGGCTTTCATTGGACGAAAATTCAAATCCCTAAAGTATGTTTATATCATTTCGGTGAGGGCCAGAGACTTACATGTTCTACATATATAGCCCTAAGGAGGGGTCCTTATCCCTAATGGAAATGTTATTATAAAATCTGTGAACTTGTTTTTCTTCTCTAGTATCCAGAATCTTAATATGTTGAGGCAAACTGGAATGGAATCACAGAAAAACTTTCTGGAATTATGAAGTTGGATTCACATTTGGCCCAACATTAGATGATTAATATTAAATACCAAAAAATTTAAGTTTCTAAATTACAGTTATTTATCCCACAGCCTCATACATTTAGGAAAGATCTGAACATTTTAATTTTAGTCTATGTTATGACACAAACTGGCTGTGTGACCTTAAGGCAGTCACTAAAAACTGTACCAGTTTTCTCCTCTGAAGAATAAAGATAATGTCTTCTTTACCTATCTTACAGGGCTATGGGAATTCATTGAAATCATGCATACATACATCCTGCAAAACTGAAGATAGTCTCAAATTTATTCTCAACATACTTTGCTGTGCATAGCAACCACTGTCCAACCTGTAACTGATTAATCTGCTGTCCTCAGCCACACACCTGGAGAGTTGCATAATTGTGATGGAGGGGGAGGAAGGGGGAAAAAAAATGCACAAAGAATACAATGTAAATGGCGCCCCCTGCAGGTGCTTGGAATAGAAAACAGCAATTAATAGTAATTTGAAGCTTGCTCTAAGTTTAGAAGGGAAAGCTGGAATTTCTCCGCTTTAAAATTTTATGGGCTTCTAAAGGAATAATAGCTAAAGAGCACAATAAGAGAGCTTGAGCTGAAGAAGGCAACTCATAAAAAAAATCAGTTTTGAGATCTACGGGAAATAAGTCTCAAATGTTCTCTACTCATGTTACTCAAAGTGTGGTCCACAAGCCAGCAGGTAGCATCCCCTAGAAGCTTGTGTGAAATGCATATTCTTGGGCATCTCCAACCTACTCAGTCAAAAACTGTGGGGGTAGAACCTAGATGTCTGGCATATCTCTTAAAGACAGACAGAAGGGCATCTGGTCAAGATGGAGGCATAGGTAGACATGCTCTGCCTCCTCACACAACCACAAGAATAACCACAACTAAACCTCAAAACAATACCTAGAACCGTCAGAAAATCAAACTGTATGGAAGTCCAACAACCAAGGATTTAAAGAAGCCACATTCATCCAGATGGGCAGGAGGGGCAGAGACGCACACAGAGTCAGGGTGGAGCAGCGAGGAGATGCAGTGTGTGGTGTAGAGAGGCCATGGCAGTGGCAGAACAGGCAGTCCCACATCCACTTGTGGTGGATAAAAACTGGGAGGGATACCTTAGGTGTGAGCGATCCCAGCCCCAGGTCAGACCACATGGCCCAGGATTCCAGAGCCAGGAAGATAAATCCTCATAACTTCTGGTTGTAAAATCCAGTGGGGGTTGGGGTGGCAAAAGAAACTGCTGGTTTTTCAGGAGAGTTCATTTAAAGGGCCCACACAGACTTAGAACATATGCAAACTCAGCCATGCTGGAATTCACCACCAGGGCAACTGCTGGAAGGGCACCAATCACATACGGGAAGTGGGTAAAGTGACTGGAAATGGGGTGAGTGCCAGGTAAACCTCCAGAAGCCAGGCAGCAGCACGGCCCCCCACTCCAAACCCTCCCCCAACACAGAGCCACAAAGCGGTGAAGCAGGTTGCCCCACCCTGGTGAACACCTAAGGTTCTGCCCCATACAACTTAACAGGTGCACTAAGAGAATCAGAGCAGCCAGAAACACACACAGGGATGCTATCAAATTGAGGAGACAAAGAAATATGGCTCAAATGAAAGACCAGAACAAAACCCCAGAAAAAGAACTAAACTAAATGGAGATAAGCAACCCAACAAATGCAGAGTTCAAAACACTAGTTATCAGGATGCTCATTGAGTACAGCAAAAGCATAAAGGAAGAAATGAAGGTTACACTAAATGAAATAAAGAAAAATCCACAGGGAACCAACAATGAACGGAAGGAAGCCGGGATTCAAATCAACAGTTTGGAACATAAAGAAGAGATAAACATTCAACCAGGACAGAAAGAAGAAACAAGAATTCAAAAAAAATAAGGATGATATAAGAAGTCTCTGGAACATCTCCAAATGTACCAACATCTTAATCATAGGACTACCAGAAGGAGAAGAGAAAGAGTAAGAAATTGAAAACTTATTTGAAAAAATAATGAAAGAAAACTTCCCTAATGTGGTGAAGGAAATAGACATACAAGTTCAGGAAGCACAGAGAGTCCCAAACAAGTTGGAGCCAAAGAGGACTATACACATCATAATTAAAATGCCAAAGGTTAAAGATAAAGAGAGAATCTTAAAAACAGCAAGAGAAAAGCAGAGAGTTACCTACAGGGGAGTTCCCATAAGACTATCAGCTGATTTTTCAAAAGAAACTTTGCAGGTTAGAAGGGACTGGCAAGAAATATTCAAAGGGATGAAAAGCAAGGACCTACAACCTAGATTACTCTACCCATCAATGATATTATTTAGAATCAAAGGGCAGATAAAGTGCTTCCCAGACAAGATAAAGCTAAAGGAGTTCATCGTCACCAAGCCATTATTACATGAAATATTGAAGGGACTCATTTAAGAAAAAGAAGGTCAAAACTATGAACAATAAAATGACGACAAACTCACAATTATCAACAATTGAATCAAAAGAAAAACCAAACGAACAAAAAGCAAACAACCAGAACAGGAACAAAATCATAGATATGGAGATTATACAGAGAGTTATCAGCTGAAAGGGGGAAGCGGAAGGAGGGGGAAACGTACAAGGAATAAGAAGCATAATTGGTAGGCACAAAATAGGGGGATGTTAATAATAGTACAGGAAATGGAGAAGCCAAAGAACTTAGATGCGTGGCCCATGGACATGAACTAAGGGGGTGGGGACTGCTGGAGGGAAGCAGAGTACTGGGCAGAGGGGAGCAAAGGGAGAAAAATTAGGACAACTGTAGTAGCAAAATCAATAAAATATACTGTTAAAAAAAAGAAAGACATGGAAGCAAGCACTCCTTCAGCTTGAAGCACAGCAATAAACCAGGCTTAATGATGTGTTTTAGAAGAAACGCAGAACTGAAAGAAAGCCTAGTCATTAACAAGGGGAATCTGAAGGAACTCTGCTGGGGAATGCTCTCAGAACATGCATCTGGGAAATAAATCTGTTCTTTGGAGCAAAACTTAATTTCCATTAAATTGGTCAATTTACATTATGGGGCCATAATATATTTCTAAAACTGTTTTGATTGACAACCCAGAAGAACAATTAGTGGGTCCTGCTCGCAACTCTCTCTCCAAGGAGAATCCTGACAAGCTTGGTTTCCTGAACCCCTCCCGAGGCCTGACTCCCATCTCTCCCAGCCTTCGTACAGTCACCCTTATATGAATCTCTGCTTTTGGGAGGAATGATTCGTAGGCCTCAAAATGAATCTGAATTTGCTAAATGCAATTTGCAGTTCATTTAAAGTGGTCAGGTCTTGTAACATCATTGACTGTCAAAGTTTTCTTCCTTCATTCTGGAGCTCACACTAACAGAGCCAGGCCATGGCCTAAGAGGGCACATCTGCTTTTCTGTGGAATGTAGGTTGATCTCCCTTCTGCCCAACCCATGATGCATATACCTACATGGAGCCTTCTAGAACCTCCGTGGCAGGACACGTGTTCTGTGGACATTTCTAAAATTCATTGATTCAAACAATATAGCCATTTCTGAAATTGTTTTTCTCTTGGTTGGTTTAAACATTAAACAAATAGATTCAAAAGTCTGCATTCATTTTTCACTTCTGCATTTGGGGTTAGAATGAAATAAAATCAATAAGATATTTCTAATTTCGGGGGGAGGTTTTATGTCATCTACCAATATAATTGTTCTCATTTTTGTTAGGATAACCCTTGTGTTACCCAGCACACTTGTAGAATAGGGCATTTTCTTTAAACAAAAATTATGGCTAGGAGGAAGCGATCAAATCTGGAGTGCAATCATTCTTTAAAAATAAAAATTCAGTGAATGACATGATGCCCAGTCTATACTGAGTAAATATTTCATGCTTTTTTTACTATTTATACTGAACATAAATTGTAGAAATTTTTCAACTTCTCAAAGTCATCATCATGAATTAAATTATCATATTGTTTTGGATATGAGGAGGTGCCAATTAACAGAATTTGGGTCACAGCATGTTAGAGGGGTCCATCTCAGATTGCTGCTGTGTGAACCTGCGCAGCAGCCAGAATATCGCTTTACTGGATCTGCCAGCAGGAAATGGAGGAACCTCAACACCAGGTAAATTATTCAAAGTATGCAGGTGACGAGCAGATGGCCCGACACAAGCATGAGCTGTACAGGACTCTGGTATCGCTCAGTTTATTCTGTCCTATGAGAAACCAGTAATAATAAACAACCTAGGTTTCTAGATTTTATTTCAAACTAGATTTGTTATTATATCAAAGCAACGCCAGATTACATCTGGTGAGGTGTCCCAGACCACCCTGAACCCTGCTGAGGGAGGGACGGGAAGCTCTGTCCTTGGCTCATGACCAGGGGAGAGAGCCTCACCTGCCACACTTTAGACCAGGCCTCACAAAACGCAGCCTGGGGCATGCCCGCTGGCAGGCACAGAGCCTGGCCGTCACCCTGGGACCTCTGAACACAGCGGGGTTCCACCACATTTCCATCATTGCTTCACCTCATTAAAACTTTGAGCCCCGGTTTAAGGATTTCCACTAATAGGTGGCATATAATTTTTAATTGACTAAAAGAATGACACAGAGGGCCCTTTGTTTCAGCACAGCTCAAGTCAAGCAAGAAGGACTCACTTCCCCAAATGGGCAGATCTTATCCCCAGGCCTAAGGTTAACGGCCATCCTGTGCAGGGTGAACGCTCATGTCCTCCCTGTGTCGCTTCAAAGCGCCATGACAACCATCCCCTCCCAGGGCTGCCTGGCCTGTGGTTACCTGTTCCCTCCTGCCCCGGGCATTCTCAGCAACGGCCAGCCTGGCCTCATGCAGCTGCAGCTGCAGCTGCCAACAGCTTTATGTTCATGTGGCTGCCAAGACTCTGTCCACAGCTGTGACCAGTCAGTCATTCGGCAAAATGTGATGAACCATGACCATGCGCTAGGCAGGGGCGCCGGGGCCCAGGGGCCCCTGGGGTCACCTACCACGTTAGGGCGTGGAAGGCCTTCCTGCCACTTACTCCGTCCTGCGGGCTTTGCGGTCAATGAGAACTGGATTGTACCCTGGCTCCATCACTTACCACCTGAGTGATCACAGATGAGTTTCTTACTCTCTTGTACCTCCCTTCCTCTGGGTGTAAAGAATATAATACAAATGTAAAACAATACAAAATGATGTCATATATAGAGAATTTAACTCAGTGCCTAAAATACAGTGTAAAAACCAGGGTTTCTCAACCACCTTTGTATGTATGATAAGGCCTTCTCTCCTCTGTATATAAAATAAATCAGTAATAGTAATAATTGTTGTTGTTATTATTATTATTATTGGCTATCATCTACCAAGTGTCCAATGTGTCAGGAATTGAGCTAAGGAGTTTATCTACATTATTTCATTTGCATCCCCAAAACAACCCTATTGGAGTAGAATAATGTTTTTGTCTCCATTTTACAGAATAGGAAAATGAGTCTCAGAGAGGTTAAGTTATGTGCTCAAGGTCACCTAGCTAGCAAATGGTAGTATCTATTCAAACTCAATTCTGTTCATCTCTAAAACCAGTGGTTCTCAAACATGAGCCTACCTCAGGGGCACCATGAGGGCTTATTAAAATACAAATTGCTGGGCTTCACCCCCAGCCTTTTTGATTCAGTAGGTCTTTGGTGAGGCCTGAGAACTTGTTTTTCTGGTAAGTGGTTAGGTTATACTACCTCTGATAATCCTGGAACCATACTATGAGAACCATAGGCCTAAATTATTAATGCAAATTTATTTTCTTTTTTTAATCAAGAAAGGCTATAGCAGAGCTGCAGGTTTCAGGGTATTCTAGCAGTGAGCAGCACAGAGGTTTGAGAAATGCAGCCAGCCTCTCCTCAGCCCTTGGAGGGAAAGAGACATAAATGCACGGAGACTCCAGAGAACCATGGAGGCAACCAAGGCGAGCAGGTTTGGGGCTGGGCAGGAGAGTAGGCACTGCAGGGGTGAGGATGGAAGAAGAAAGATGTCTGAGGGTGAGAGGTGTTAATGAACTGAATTGGAGAAGGGAGGGAAATGGCTGAGGGAGGCCTGGTTGGCAGGCCAGCAGAGGGGCCCGTGGAGGGCACTCCCCGGTCTTATGAAACACCAGCCATCCCCGGTAAACACAGCAACGCTGGTACCTCTGGCCCGGATTTGGTTTTCCCTTCTTTCTCACGTTATTTGCTGTGGTTTCACTGAAGTGTGGTCGGCCCAATGTTACTTTGGTGACTTGGTTGGCCAGTAAGTCAATTCTGAAACAAAAAGCAGAAATACCAAGAGACTATAAAAGAACATAGAGTATTTGAGCATATGTAAGCCACCTGAGATTCTCAGGCATGTTCAATTCCCAGTTCCTGTCTCACTGCAGAGGACAGTTTATTCCAGTCACTGATTTTTAATAAACCATCTGTAGCATGGCCAGGAACAGGGGCCAGGGAAGTCCACGGAATAACCCTTGAGCGGAAATGCTCATTCCGCAGGGGCTCAAGCCCAGAGTTTTTGACTCATAAGGGCTGTGTGCTCCCAAAACCACATATGGATTCTTTTACCTCCGCAATGAGAAGAAAAGATGTATTTCATTTGTGCTCCTGCTTCTATAGCACTCACTTTCTCACTGAAGCAACTGCTCTATGCTCCTCATGATTTTCTTCACATCTCCTTCATGTATTTGCCCTCTCCTGGTCTGGCTGTGGGAGGCTGCTTGCTCCTAAGGACAACCACACACAGCCTTCCGCACATGAGGGAGAGCCAGATGTACCAGGCATGTTGAGAGATGGGTTGGTACACGGAGCTCCTGCTTGTGCACCTGGCTGAGCTCCTGCCTGGTCCCAGCGAAGGAACCATCTTCTTCCCAGCCCAAATGGGATTGACTCAGGCTCTAAACACTAAATGTCTCAACAGTATCCCAGCCAAATCAGTTGTTGAAAAGCAAACCCCACTCCAAAGTGATTCTACAGAGGACTCTCTCTTTGGACCACCATATTGCTTTGGGTAATACCAATCCTGTATGCTTTCTATTTTGGAACCCATTAAGCAGTCTATCAACATAGCTTTAAAAGATAAGAAAAAAGAAACTGTAAGCACAGGATGGACCCAGACCCTTGAAGTTAATTCTATCAGCATAATGCTGATTTAAATGAAAAATTAAAAGATCTAACCATTATCTATCTCAAGGAATCAAAGCTGTTAGCAAGGTTGTCAGTACTAAATAGTTATAAAAATTAAAATGACTTAAAAATGGAGCTTTATATAAGGAATTTTTTGTAATTATTTCAATGCATTTTACCTACTTTATTTTTGTTGATAGCATGTGTTCATAAATTAACATATTATTATTTCGTTTCTACAGTAGGATTCATTTTAAATTAGCAAAATAAATTGGGCAATAGGTCTTCTTCCCAAAACATCCACAAAGAAATTAAGAAAAGAAGTTCTTAACAGGATTGAAAATCTTTTTGCTTCTATTTGCTTGGGGTTGTTCAATAGCAATTACTTGATTGGTGGCTTCTACCTGTGTAAAACAACACAAAGTAAAAAAAAAAATAATACACAATTAATAGAAATATTCATTAGTAAACAATGTTCAAGTACTTGAAAAGTTTTCCAAGGTATTAATCTATACACTGGGCCGGAGGGGCAAGTCACTGAAAAGACACATAAGACGATGGCTGGAACCTTAAAAGCAGTGTGCTATTGGTAAGAAAAGAAACAAGTGTCTGTAAAACTCTACAGTGAAAACACAAGACCACAGAATATTTCAAGTAAACAGTGAGTACAGGATGGACTAGTAGAAACATCAGCTGCAAAACAGAGGAGCAACATAGCTCAAAGAAGGCATGCATTCATGCATTCACTCATTCTATAAAAACTTGTTGAGCACCCATTATGCACCAGGCATTGCTCAAGGTGTTAGAGACGAGAATTGGACTAATTTAACAGAAATCCATGCCCTTGCAGAGCTTATATTCTAATATGAAACAAAAATCAATGATAATAAATAAATGACAGGAAATGGCATTTATTCAGTACTTGCCACAAACTCTTCTGACTATTCGTGGCTACTGGCAATGGCGTGGTGAGATCCGCCCCGCCATCTGTGGCTGTTCATTCGCACAGTAACGATCTTTCTGAAAAGCCACCGGGCAACCTCCATCAGGAGATTAATAATGTTCATATGTTTGATGTTTAAATTCCTCTGCTGGAATTTATCCTCATGCAAAGGTGGATATATATAAATATTTACTGCAGTTCTATTAACAAGAACAATGAATTCGAAATAAAACTAACAATAATACAGAACTTCATCAGGGAACCTCTATACAATAGAAATCTGTATCATCTTTGTAAACAATAGTTGATAGAGTCTTTAATATCATATTGTGTTATTTTTTACAATATATTAATAATATGAGATCAATGTTAACAACAAGAAAATAAGGAAAAAACAAGCTACCAAATGGTGTATTCCATTGAATGACTTTTTTTTCTCTTCTTCATATTTTTCTATTATGTTCCAAAATTTTTACAATAGAATTATTACTTCCAAAATCAGGAAAATGTAGGTTTTTATTTCTGTTTGTATTTGCTTTTATTTTGCTCTGTTTTGACTTGGTTTTGACACTGGTTTGGTTTGGTGTAAGAGCTCAGTTTGGAGGAAGAACAGCTGATATGTCCAGCAGTCCAGTCCCATTTTGGGAAGCTAAACCCAGATTAATGATCAGAATAAAATATGTGCATGATAGCTACTCTTTCCACTGAGACACTGAATTTGAGGTAATAATTTATTAGATGCTTATGGACCAATCAAAAGCCATCCTACCTGCATTTTACATTCAGCTCTTTCATTTATTATCTTGGATGAGTTGTGTAACATACTGAGCCTCAGTCTCTCCTCTCTGGTAAACTAGAAAAGAGGGGGCGTTGACTAGATTGGTGGTTCTTCGACTTTTTTAAGTCAGGGATCTCTTTGAGAATTTGGTGAAAACTTTGAATCCACTCCATATGAAAATGGATGAGCATCAAAAAGTACAAAACAATTAGTACTACATTTAGTAAAAGAAGTACAAGATTTATTCCCTGAGAACTGCAAAACTGCAGTTTGAAGTGGTATTTTGCCAGTTTCCGAGTCTAGGTTTAAGAAATTAACAGCTTCTGCCCTGAACAGTGTGGCTCAGTTGTTTGGGCATCATCCCACAAAGGGAAAGGTCACTGGTTTGATTCCTGGTCAGGGCACATGCCTGGGTTGTGGGTTCAGTCCCCGGTCAGGGCGCATACAAGAAGCAACTGGTCAATGTTTCTCTCTCACAGTGGTGTTTCTCTCCCTCTCCTCCTCCCTCCCTTCCCCTCTCTCTAAAAATAAATAAATAAAATCTATTAAAAAGAAAAGAAATGAGCTGCTTTTGTTCCCTATGTCCTGGAACATTTATTCTTAGAACCCATCTACCATGCTGTGAGGATGCACAAGCTATCCTACAGTATGGAGAAGAGTCACAACCGCCCAGCTATGGCCCCTTTGAGCTCCTGGCTGATGGCAGCATGAACTTGACAGACATATAAGTGAGCCTTCTTGCAAATTGGATCCAGCAAATTGGAGCTGCCCCAGCTGATGACTCCTGAACAAAGATATGAACTATCAGAGCAAAGCCCTAACCAAGTAGCAGATTTGTGACCCAAATAAATGATTGTTAGTATTTTATGGTACCGAGTTTTGGGGTAGTTTGTTATGTAGCAACAGACCACTGGAACACTTAATAAATGTTGGCTGGATTAAATGGAACTAAATAAAAGACTTACCTTAACCCCAAAAACTTTTAAGTAAAACATTTCTATTGCCTTTAGGCCCATTTGGGTTTTGACAAATTTTGGACTTCCACAAACTTGGATATGGATGGTTATCTGAAAATGTGTTCTTCCTTTGGCAACCAAAAGTTTCATCTGCCGGTGAAAAATTAAGTCCTTTGTCTGTGACAACTCGGTAGCCTATACTGGGTCTATGAAAAGAGGAATCAAAAAACCAGTTTTACAAATATTTTCTACACATTTTCTTTCATTTTCATGTTAACTGTATAAACACTTCAAGAAAATGTAGTGCAGAAAGTTCCTTTTGCTATATTTAATCAATCAGTTTTGTGAATTTTTACTGAGAGAATGAAAACAATATTTCAAAACACAGCTGGCTCCCTCACAGCTTTTTATCTTCTCACAAGGAAGGAGCACAGGTCTCGCTAAATGGAAGCATTGTTTCCTCAGGCCGACTTTTCCCTTTGTGCTTCCTGTACTTCTGCAATACTCTGACTCCACCATACAATAGAAAGGCACAGGCTAGAAGCTGGGAAGTCACTGCGTCACTCAGACTTGGGAAATCTTTGGAATAGAATTTATCTTTTTGCTCCTTTAAAAAAAGAAGTCTCTAAATTTTGTCAGCAATACCATACTCAAATAGTTACTCTGATGAATGCATATTCAGCCTGCCGGTGATCATGTGAATAAAGCAGACGGGTCAGAAATACCAGGAATAGCTTTACGCTAGATTGACCAGAGTCAGTCATACTGATGATTGAAAATTTGTTTTCTCCAGATAGAGGTCATTTCCTTTTTATTTGCCCAATCTGAATAACACCACAAACCTTCTGTGTTGGTTATTTCTGCAGAAAGCAATGCAATGGTGGTAGAGTGGCTAAAAAAAAAAATCAGACTCTTGTTTTACTTGTTTTAATCAAATCATCTGGAATCAAATCAAATGGAATGCTACGTGTTTAATTAAATGCTTAATTAATTAAACATTTTTACATGTGTGAATACTTTTAGATGTTAATAAAAATAAAACTTGTTCAATATGAAACATTTTCAAGGAGAGAAGAGAATATTAAAGTTGAAAACTCCTTTGGTGAGTTATTTTCATACATGTAGATATGTAACACGACTCTAAATTTATTGAGGCTTCTACATGTGGGGTTTTCCTCAGGAAAGAAGCTGCCTCCCAGGCGCGCAGGTGGACAAGGGCAGTGCCTCCTTCTGTGCTAGCTCTCTGCCGCCGTGTGGGTTTTCGCATCTCAGGATCTCAATTTGGAAGGCTGCCCATATAATGAACAACACAGAGTTTCTAAATTGTCCTCTAATGCCAGAGACAGAAAATATTAATGGGCCTCTTGGGTAAGTAGTGTTTGTGTTCTTTGCAAGTAAAGCACCTTCACAATGAATCAAGTCACTGGGTCATTGATTACCGTCAAATAGCCGATCAGTCAAATGCCCCACAATCATAGTACTTGCCAGCAGCAACAAGAAAATCCAATGAATGAAGAATTTGATAAAGACCACATGTCTTATGCCATCTGGGGGCTTTATATTGACTCAGGTTTCTAGAACTAATCTGCTAATTTGCTCATCTGCAGGCTAGACAGATTGAACTGTATAGATTTTACTACAGAGGGTAATAAGAACTGTCTTGGTTGAGAAAAAAAGGAAATACCTTTTTGTGCTCTTCCATGTTTCACTGTCAAAAACTCTGAAGAAAGCGGATAAGGCTGATATCTCAGATATGAGCATCAGCCTGAAATTTAAGGACAGCTGTAGCAGAAAGTGAACCAGCCAACAACGATTATACTGAAGATTAATCTGAACCTCAAACACAAATCTCTGGTTAAAGAAATCTATTTACCTATAAATAGAGTATGGGTAATCTATTCCTATAACCACCAGAGTGGGAATAGCAATTCTGTTTTTAATATCAAAAGTCAATTATAAAGTCAATTAAACTGGTTTTTCAAAAACTCTTTTTAACACAGGTATGAAATATCACTCAGGAAAAAAGAGATCTGATAAATTTTCGGTCCCCTAATATTAATTAGGTGATTCAGGGGAACGATATTTTTTATAACAATTTAGACATAAAAATCTAAGAAGACACAAGTAATTTTCTTTCTTAGTGGTGAAATCAAGAGAGCCTGAGTTCTAATCCAGACGAATATTGACTTTATTTATGCTTAAGAAAAGCATATATAGCAAGGACTCATGGACAAAACCAAAGGGGAAGAGCTGAGGGAGGGAAGGTGGGAGGGGGCAAGGGAAAGAGGTGGGGGGAAGGCAGAGACAAATGTATTTAAAAAGTAAATAAATTAATTTTTAAAAAAAATAAATAGGTAAATAAATAAACAAACAAACAAAAAAAGAAAAAAAAGAAAAGCATAAATGATGAAGTATGGCTTCAAAATACATCTTCCTCTATATCTTTGAGCTGATACCATTTGTGTTCTCTTTTTTTCCTAAACCAGTAAAGCATAGATAAACTATGCTTTTGATAAACTTTAGAAAATAATCTATTCAAGGAAGAAGAGAGATACCAGTTACATCAAAAGCTTGATTAACTCAGATGCATAGAGACCAGGAAGCATTAAAAGTATCAATCAAAATACTATGCATGTGGGTACCAGTTTCATACCTCGGTCCTTATGTTTAAGACAGCATATGGGACACTCCCCAAAAGATCACATGAAGGCTAAGACTCAAAACCAAGACCTATGGACTCTTCCTTTTTTTTTCCTAAGTGCTCAAAGCAGCAAAGATACAAAGCCATGACATTTCAATAATACAATTAACAATTTGCTTTTTTCTGCCTCTTATTAAACATACCAATTCCCAAGTCTGTTTACCTGCTTAGATTTTGTTTTAAGGAAAAGGTTTCCTTCCAGTTCATCTTACATAAAAGTCCTAGAAATAAGTTTCCTCTTAGGGAAGTTATATTTGAATTTAGAAAATACCATAAAGGCCCTCAAGTTTGTAGGTCAATGTTTTGCATTTCATATTGTACTTATTACTTGAAAGTTTTATTCTTTATCCACTAACACTTTCTAGTGTTTTAGGAAGGCATTTATAATCAATAAAAATTCTGGAAGGCTTAGATGGGTAAATTATATCCTAAGGAATAAAGGAAAGTCTTAAAGAATGTTGAAGAACAATAATGTGTAAGTCCACATTTGCTTCTTGAAACTATAATGTCATAAGAATAGGATGAAACTTACTCAGTTTAAGGATATTTTGTATGATTTGATTCCAGCCTCTGAATACAAAGCCACCACTGGCTGTGATTACTGCAGGGTATATTTAAAATGAACTTGACAATACTGACTGGCAGCATAGATGTTGAAGGAAGAAGGTGTCACCAGCTAAAAATTTATTGTGGCCCCCAAGGTGCATTTTCCGGAATTTTAAATTAACTGCAGGATTAAATATTGGTTATTTGAGAAATCTCCATTTTCCAGATTTTAGCTTAAACTGAGCGTGTGGTCTGAGGAAGATTCCCTCTCCCTCCATTGTTTAGGGGGTATATTGTAATGAGTCAGAATTACAAGTCTGGATTCCTGACAGCCAGAAACCCGCGTCCCAGCTAACCATGAGGTAGAATGCAAAACGTAAGGAGTAAGCCACACTTTCTCCTTGGCCCATCCCATTTGACCAGAGGTGGCATCAAAGCCCCACATCTTGGGTTTCATCTTGAGAGCTAGCACTACCTTTTCCCCCTCTCTCCCCAGCCCACCACCAGGGGTTCCTAGGGCCACTTACAGTTTTTAAAAATGACCATTTAATAACCTACACCAAGGAATATTTTGAAACAGCTGACACTTCAGAGCGGGAGAGCACTGGTCAGCAGGCATCACATTCTGCCCCTCCCTGTCATGGTCTTGCTTTTCGCTGCTGTGACTCCTACTTGTCACTTCAAAGAAATTGGTATGTTAGATCTTTCCCCCAGGGCTGCTCTCCCGAGACTCACAGACAGCTGCGCGGAGCTAAGGAATAGGCCATGTGGAAAGCAGAGTGACCGCGTGGGAAGCGACAAGAGTTGGGAAGCAGGAGGCACCTGGCCAGCTTGTTTCCTCACCTATAGAAGAGCAACTTGAGGTCAGTGATCTCCAAGGTGAGTACTTGTTGGAAATATTGCCCTTGGTATCTATCTTCCCTACTTCCTGCACAGCATCCCCGGTGACGTCCATGTTCCGCCTGAGGAGGGTAGAAGACCCAGCCAGGCTCCCGCCGTCCATGGACAGCATTCGCTATTTGCATCATTGTCACCGGGCCTAATCCAGTCCAAGCAGAGTGGGTCTCAGCATTAGTGGGAATGCAAGTTTAAAGATGCTGAGGCCTTTCCAAGAGTTTTGAACCTGCAAAATACATCCTCAAGACTGTGGGACATGAGGGAAAGCCTTTCTGGGAAGAAGGCAACACAGCAGGAGGTGCTATCGAGGAGGAAGGGACCCAAGCTTGATGGCGTGATTTGAGTTCAAGGATCCAGTCCTAAACTCTAGCATCACAAAAGCCAATAAACTCCCTGGTTTTGTTTTTGTTTTTTTGTTTATTTTATTTTATTTTATTTTTTTGCTTAAAGCAATTTAAGGTTATGGTTTTTGTCTTTTGTTTCTTTGTTTTTGTTAATTGTAATCAATACATTCTAGTTTGTTACAAGTCCCTTGTGGCACTAAGATTCTGTGCTCCAATTAGCTTTTTGAACTTAGATGAGTTATTTATTCACTTAGTGTCGTATTTCCCTCAACTGCAAAACTAATTAAAACGGGTGTCCTGCCCAACTTGCAACATTACACAAGCAGAGAGAACGACAGAGATGGCACTTCCAGAAGCTGATACCAAGATACAGTGACAGAAAATATCTTGTTAACATGTAATGTTAACTATGTGCAGTTGCTACTTTTGTATATCAAAAAGGGTTAAATAACAGCAATTTGACACGGGCAAGCTACCATTTTTTGCATAATCCATGCACATTGTCTTAATTTCAGTATGTCTCCAAACTGTATGATTCAATCGCAGAAATTTTTTATGTAAATTCGATTGGTACATTTGTTGTTTCCCTTTTCCTTTAACTCCCCCACCAGTACTCACGCCTGACGTAAGGAGTAAAGGGGAAGTAGTGGTTGTTCCTGAGGTCAGGTGCAGGCTGTAAGAACAACGCACAAATATGACATTAGCTCCTACACTCTGAGTGTGCGCTTAGCCCACAGCTTGGAAAATGCAGTGGTGGCTGGGCTTTCGTTCACTCATCTTACCTTCTTTATACTTTTCTTGAGGACTTCCTGAAATAAATAACAGAGCTGCTTTAGGTTTTTTTGATCCCAAATGCCACATAAAATGTGTTTTACTTGGGGTATCACTATTACATGTCACCTAAGCAATGCATCTATTTGCGGTGGGGGCGGGGAGCGGTATAAATATGGATTTGGGAACAATTTCTCAAAATCCTAGAAAACTTTTTTCCCACCTATAAATAAGGAGGTCAGCAATGCAAGGAACTCATTGTGCCCTCACTCCTCCAAAAGATACCTGGTCTTAAGTATTTTCCAAACAACAAAACTTTCTATCATTCTCCTGTTCACATCAAATTCAGAGAAAGTGATAAACTAGTTCCTCCATCTTTCTTTCCTCTCTCCTCCATTGAAGAGAGGATAAAGGAAGTTTGAGAGCTTAAAATTTGGAAGTGAGTTTCTATCACAACTCTACATTTAATGGCTATACAACTTAGGGAAATGGGTTAAGGACTCTGGGCTTCAGTTTCTGCATCTGTAAAATGGGAGTATCAATAGGACACCACCCAGGGTTGTTAAAGGGATTCAGTGAGTAATGTTTGTAAGTTCTAAGCACAGCATCTGTCACCAGTGAGAATTTAAACAATGGTGTCATCATCACGCTACTCGTTTCAGCTCAGGCGACTCAGTTATTCCCAGGAAGCCTTGGCAAATACTTCTGGCCTTGGCTTCTGCGGTAATGCTCTCTGATGTGAGTGAATTGCAGCTAACTCAGGCCCTTCTCCACTCACGCACAGTGGCAAGGGCAAGGTGCCAGGGGAGGCAGTCAAAGGCCAGCTCCACTCCTCCAGGTGCGGGCTGGGAGGGGGGCAGTGGGCAGGCGGCATTGTCCTCAGGGATAATGGCATCTTCCGCCCTTTCTCATCATAGCAGCAAGAGTGTCGAGGTGGCCACTCCAACAGGACTGACAGCTGTGGCTTCTCCGGGAGCTGGCTATCAGCTGGCGAACCCCGGGGATGGGGATCTGGGACCACAAGCTCACACCAAAATTCCTAGGACAAGCCAGAGCCTGTTCAGGGACTTATTAATACTACTAATAATATCTACTATTCCTGTGTGCTTTCTGAACCTCAGGCACTGTCCCAGACATCTGACAGTTTCTTATCAACTCATTAACTCATCTCCAAGGTTAAGATTTCTTTTTTAATAGGCTTTCTTTATTGACATATAGTATACAGGATGAAAGCACACCGATCATTGGTACACAATTTGATACTTTTTTATAAAATGAATTATACCAAGTAACTGCGACCATCAAGAAACAGGACAGTCCAGCATTCTAGAAGAGACCCTCCTGCCCTCTTTTCATATCTACTTTCTTCTGCCCAAGAATAATCACTATTCTGAAATCTGACACCATAGAGAATTTTGTAGAAACAGAATACTATTATAGGTACTCTTAAGTGTTGATTTCTTGTGCCCAACATTATCTTTATGAGACTTACTTACTGTTGCAAATGGCAGTTGTTTGTTCATTTTCATTACTGTATAGTACTCCACTGTATGAATATACCACAACTTATCCGGCCCTTGATGGTCCTTTGGGCTACTTTCAGTTCGTGGTTACTATGAGTAATGCCGCCATGAATGCCGTTGTGTGTATGTTTCAGTGGGCACGTGTACACGTTTCTGTTGGGTATCTTCCCAGGAGTGGAATCACTGGGTCAGAGGCTCTGCTTTAGTAGAGGCAGCCAAACAGATTTAGAAAGTGGGCATGAGGAAGGGATTCTTAACCTCATTCAACAAAGGTGGATATGGGTTCAGAGACCTGACATACCTTGCTTAATGTCACAGCTGTTCAGTGGAAGAGATGGGACCCACGCCTTTTTCTTCCATTCAGGCCACACTGAGGATTTCTTGGGAACATGTAACGGAACGGAGAGGCAGCAAGGTGGAGGCAGCAGGCTGCCCAAGCCCCAGTCTTTTGGAGAAAGCTCATAGCTTGAGTTTGAATGTCTTTCAAAATATTTTCTTATGCATTCCTTTTTTAAAAATCTTGGAAATGAGTGAAGTGGAACTTACGATTCCTATTTGATAATCCAGAAGAATGAGGCTTTGGAAGTTCCCTGTTGCTGGAGAGATGAGACAGAGTCTTCTGACTCTAGAAATTGTGAGTTCAGCCACTGCACTTCTGACTGGGGGCAAAGGTCACAACTTTGGAGGTGACAAACCCTTTTATATTTGAGGAGCAAAGCTTATGAGGCCATGAACCCATTTATATTTGGGGTTCGGATTAGGTGGGACCAGGAATCCTCTTATATTTGGGATCCAGACCTTGTGGGGTTGGAACCAGCTAATAGGAACCCGCTCACCAGCTGCCTCCTCTCAGAGCAAGATTTTACTTCTGGTCACAGCAACCCAATAATTCTACATTGTGAGCCCTGTAAACGGAGATCTTGGAACCCCTGGTCAAAGTGAACTGCTTGGGACAAGGTCACCAAAAAAAGCCTTGTTGAATGATTTAGAACATCATCTATCACCCTACCCAGGTGGCTCAGTTGGTTGGGCACCGTCCCGTAAACTGAAAGGTCACAGATTCAATTCCTGGTCAGGGCACACACCTGCCTTGCTGGTTCAGCCCTGGTCTGGGCGTGTACATGAGGCAACTAATAACTGTCTCTCTCTCACACCGATGTTACTCTTGCTCTCTTTCCCTCCCTCCCCACCACCCCCGCCAAATCAATAAGAATGTCCTCAGGTGCGGATAAAAAAAGAACAAACATTATTTCCCATCAAAAATCCTGCCTATGAGACTAGCACAACCTCATCCTTCCTCTGCCCATGTGCCGTTTCCAAGGACCTTCGTAAAATCCCTGTGCCTCTGCAACATCAAATCTGAGCTGTCTACTAGAAAACTCCTGCTGCAATGAAAACATGGCACTTGGATTAACTGAATTTTGCCTTTTTTTTTTTTGACCATTATTTTTTTGCCCATCTGCTCATTATTATTCTAGAACCATTGTCTGAAGCCAAATATCTTTAGCCAGCTTTTCAATGACCTTTGAATAGGTGTTCAACAAGGGATTTGAGGTTTCCTATCTGGTGGGACATTTCAGTTAGTCCCCCATGGCTATTCTCTGGAGATGGTGCAAAATCAGTGCCCTTGGCAGGGACAGGCAGCAGAAAAGCAGCACAGGATGGAGCTTAGCTCTGAAATGACCAGGATGATTTGAGCAGCATTCTGGTTAGATGAGGAAACTCTTGGAAGGTTTGGGTGGCTTGCCTGGTACCCTCAGTGAGCTAGTGCATCTGTGGAAGAGCGAACAGATGGTTCTCTCATCTGGCTAGGAATTTACTCATCCTTTTGTGTTTGAGAATCCTATCAAAGCTGCAGGCTGGATGCTAGGATCCCTGCCGAAATTAAAGTAACCTTTTGCAGGAGGGTAGATGGGGAGCGCTATATTATCTGGACAGGGGCCTTTATTTTGCATTTTGCGTTTCTAGGGTTGAATAATTAAAATCATGCAACTGCTGAGTATGGTGGATCTATGCAAAAGAAAAGAAGACAGTCAGAGGTTTGGTTTATACAAGAGCCGGGTGTCTCGCACAGCACTCCCAGGAGGTGGCGAAGTGAAGGAACTGAGCTGGGAGGGTGAACCATCATCCACTGAAGGACCCCCAGAGCCCATGCTGGAGCTGAGGCCAGATGTCCCTGAAAGGACCAGCTCTTATGTCACTGTGAGAGGCAAAAGCAGGAACATAAGCCGGAGAGAAAGCCACACGTATCTCCTTTCAGGGCAGGATAAACCTCTGGAGTTTGGGGTCAACAGTGGGAGAGGGAGCCCCAAGAGGGAAATCTTGGACTTCTTGCCAAGCTGATGCATGCAAATGAGAGATGTGACTTGCTACCCTGAATTGGGGGCACTATTCACATTGCCTACATTTGATTATTTACAGTGGCTAATAGAATTGGTGCGTAGTATTATCCTTTTCCCTAGTAAGCACCACAGCATTTACTCTGAAAATTTTGAAGTTCAAGCCTCCAGGCTCAAAAACCTCAATTTTTCTTAACTTGATCGGGTCTCTAAGCTCAAAATATAGTGTGTCACATGTTACATAAGACAAAGAACAAGGCAGGCTGACCACTTGGGCATCGATGGTTCTGCTAAAAGACTTCTAAAATGATGTTACAAAATTTTGATGACCTAGCGGGAACCTGCTAATTTGAAGTGAGTGCTAGGGAAGCTAAACTCTACCTTCCTGCTCCACTGGAGAAATCCTCTGAAGCCTTGCTTCTCAGAGTACCTCCCACAAGACAGCAGCTCCCACCCCCCGGGGCTTTGTGCTATAGACAGGATCTCAGACCCCACTCCAGGCTTAGTGAGTCAGAATCTGCGTTTTACCACGTCCCCGCGTTCTTTGTGTGTACACTGCAGTGGAGAAGGGCGGCCCTGAGCCAAGCGGGGAGCACACCAGGCTCTGGAAGGTGCTGCCGTCGTGCAGCTTCCCCAGGCCGGGAGTCTGGGGCCTCTGAGACACGTTGCCCTTGAAATGGAAAGGGCTGGTGTTCATCCCCAGCAGGGAGAGGATGGCATCTCTATCTGGGAGCTCCTGTATGACCCCGCCTAGGACTGCAAGAAACATTATGTCAAGAGGGAAGAAATAACCTCCTAGGGCCTATCACTGCCCTTCTATGAGAGAGAAAATAATTTCTAGGGCTGCTTCAGGGCTAGTAATTTAAAAAACAAACAAACAAACAAACAAACAAAAAACACCCACCCTGACTGGGCAAGAAGCAATAGGCCCTGCATTGGCTCACTCGGTCTGGTGTCCTAGACCAAAGCATGACAGTCCCCGGGGTCCTCCAGTGCCTGAGAACACTTTCTCTTTTGGTTGGTGGCTGTGGGGCTCTAAAATCAAGAAACCAAAATGAAGACCAGGGTCCTTCTTTGCTCTTCATGATAAATAAAATAACAGTAAATAAAATTTAATGTCCCACATCTCTGCTGTCTGCCTTCTTAAGTCTAATTCTAATGAGTTGTGGCTCCTGAGGGCTTCGTAGTCTGCAAAGCCAGGTCTGTGCATGCAGTGGACAAAGCAAGCCCCTGTTCCATGAGCCCTACTGGTCTCAAATTTCATTTTCTTCCACCCAATGGCCCTGGGATTCACCTACTCGAAAAATAAACTGTCACAGGCAAAGGACTCATTGAGACCAAGAAGATGCAGACTCATAATACAGGTATATATTTTACACCTGAAAAAAAAACTTTTTTTGCATGGAATTTTACCACAGTTTTTGACGGCCTTTACTCTTTTTGCCATCTTCTAACTCCAAAAGGAGGAATGAAAGGAGGGGAAGGGGAAAGGAATAAAAGAGAAGAAAGGAATATTAGTGAAAACTCAATTGACATATCTTTCTGAGAGCTCATTCACAAATTCCCTTGAGTACTCTAGCTGAGGCTGCACATAGAAGCAGGGCTATCTCCGTCACCCAGAGTTTCCCTGTATATTTCTGACACTTTAGCTTTTCACTGAATGAGGAGCACCTCGGGTTTAGTGGGTTTTTAATTAAAGCGAGTCTGAAGCCAAGAGCCCTGGGCCTGGCCCTCTCTCATACGTGTCTCAACACTGCCATCTCCTGGAGAGGATGCCACTCTTCACTTTCCACTGGCCTGCCCGGGGTTGGCGGCTCTGAGGTCTTTTCAAAAAACCCAAACAACTAAATAAATCATCTTGCTCCTTACCCAGGGTTGAGGCACAGAGGCTGCTGATGATAAGAACAACTTAACCCCAGATGGGAGGGAGGGCACGGACTGGTCCTGGGCGGTCGCGGTATGACGGGTGTTTGGGTGGCAGTTGTGAGAGCCGCTGTGGATAAGGCCGCAGTCTCTCCTGTCGGGACACAGCGTGGGGTGCTCAGGCAGTGTCGCGAGAGTGGCAGCCGAGTGGTGGACACGAGGGGGAGTCCTCGGAGTCCCGCAGCATGCACCTGGGAGAAACGCACAGCTGAAAGGGCTTCTCTTTCTCACCACCAGGGTTGATGAAGGCGCGCTTGCGCGGCAGGGGGAGGGCACTCACCTCGGGCCTGCGGAGGCGAGCAGGAGTCTAATGGAGAGGAGGGTGGGGGTACCTGGGAGGTGGCGCGTCCTGAGGGTTAGAGACATGTGTTGCTCTTTTGTCGTAACCTATTCCATTATCATCTTTTTTTTTTTTTTTTTTTTTTTGGTCACAAACAGGAGGCGGTCCTCAGTGTACAGCACCCCCAGGGATGGTTCCACGTGCTCCAGGGACCAAAGCCCACCAGACCATGTCCAGTGCCCTGTGTTAAATGAATGGGCTTTGAGTTAGACAGACCTGGGTTTGAGTTCCAGCTCTTCCACTTCCTAGCTGTGTGTCCATAAGTAAGTTCTTAGCCTTTGGTTTCTTGACTTACAAAATGGGAATAATCGTTCTGCTCTCCTCATGGCAATGTCATGAGATTTAATGAAATAATGTGTATAAATCCATAGAATAATGCCCCAAGAATAGAGAGTGCTCAGTAAACTTTAACATTATTGTTGCTTTTTACATTCTCAAAGTACTTATACCAGAGTGATGCTTGGGCATACTGTCTGGGCTAAGACAATGTAAAATAGCACGACTAAAGCAAGGGTTTTCCTTCTCTGCTCTGGAAGATCCCAAAGTTCTTGGAATGGGCTCAGGGGTTTTATAAAGGAAATTTTTTAATGCCTGGGGGGAAAATCATAACATTTTTCTGTTTTATGTCTTGAGAAGCAAGTAAAATTTCATTTTAAAAAATGAGTACCAGCACTAACAAAGTGTGAAAACTTCTGTTCCATAAAATCTGCAAGTCCCTTATGGCTCAGAAACTCCGTGATTCTAAGTCATGTATAAACACCACTACCTTCCATTTGATCCTCTTGCTGGAAAGTAAGCTGCCACATTTTTCTTGGTCTATTAAGATTTCAACCTTGTACAATAAAGGGAAAAGTCTGTTTCTATTATTAACCAGGAAAGTTATGTTTTCTCAAATTTGTCCTTTATCATTTATTCACTTCTTATTAACAAGGGAAGCACACATTTATAGTTCCCCGAAAACCCCACTCAAATGAAAGTAAAGGAATAAAGAAGCACAAATGAAAGTAAAGGAATAAAGAAGACGGGTGTAGAGGGTATGAGTAGAGGCCACGCCGGCCGCACTTCAATGGCATAGGTGCGGACAGAAGTGGTGTGGGTGGTGACTGAATCAGCAGGATGGAAAAAGCAAAAACAAGACATCCTGGGGTTGGCGGAGGGGACGTAGGAGCCCACAGGAAGTTTTCCAATTCAAATACAGCCCGAGAGACGCCCAAGACATTAGAATTGGCGGGAGCCTCTGAATCCAAGTGTAAGATGGGACTGAAAATGAAAGGACTGACTGAAAGTTAGATGAAGGAACAGCTGGACCCTTAGATCAGCTCCCCCAACCCGTACAGCTGGGCAGCTGCCTCCATGACCCGAACAGAAGCTGAGAAAGCTTACTTTCTGGAGAAATGAATCCAAAGAGACTGTGGAGCTACTGGGCTGAAAATTGAAAAATTAGTTAAAACTCCAAATGCTGAACTGTGAGACCTTTCTTCAACTTGACTTTGTGGGCATCCAAGCGGACTTCCCATAATAAGAAATTGGAAGGTTGTTCCCTAGAAAAATTGTATGTCATAAGGAGGGGGAAAATGATATTCTGAAGTCGCCCAAGAAAATAGCCAGTCCCTGCCTGATTACTCTACAATGAAGTTCATCCTTCGAGAAGGAGGGCTTGCATCCAGAATATCTGAAGAGCAAACAATGAAGGAAGAGACATTTTTGCAAAACCTTTAATATTAAAGGCAGAGAACAACTAGATAAATTAAGAGTGCAAAAGAATCACAGAAAGCTCTTCTTCTGATATGACTGGTAAGCTGCTATCAGACCTGACCCTCCCACAGATAAAAACTATGAACTCTGGGGAAAAAATTTAATCTATCCCAAAACAATAGAAGAAAACAAAAGCCAGAAGATTCAGAAGGCACGCTGAAACTTGGACAAAGGTAATAGCATAAGGTGAATTACCTTTTCGCAGCTCTTAGCCTTTGGGCTGGTTCAAGTCAGAACCACAAAAGAGCTAAAATGCCCATATAAACCTACAGTACTTCTGGCCTAATGAACAAGAGAACAGAGTTTGGGGTAAACACAGCCGCTGAAAGTAACAGGGTAAAAGGGAAATCTTGGAAAAGAGAGATTTACAGAGAAGAAATCTAGATTCGATGGGTAAATTCTGCCCAAGTATCTGGCTAACTCCTGAACCATCCATGTGTGGGGCTACCTGCACACAGCCCAACCAAAGAAAAAAAGGACTGAATTGAAATTTGAGCTACTACCCAAGAGAGAGAGTTTTAAATTGAGTCTAAGAAAAGTATTGCCTGGTAAAACAAAAATATATATACTCTTCAGAGAAATAGAAAAGAATCTAGATATTCACAATGTCCAGGATACAGCTGAGAATTCCTCAGTGACTCAGTAGGAATAAGCATCTTTTGGTTACCAGATCTAAGTTGAAGAATAAACTGAGAAAACAATTCCTCAAGGATTGTTACCATAAATATACAATTAATTATTACAACAACAACCAAAAGAAAATTACTCAGTAAAGAAACAGGAAAATGTAGCCCAGCCTCAAGGAAAGAATGATCAATGGACACCAATTCAGAGATGATCCAAATACCAGCAAGCAAGGCTTTTTAAGCAGCTATTGTAACTTAGCTTAACGGAGTAAAAGAAAATGTGTTTGTAAAAAATTTTTAAAAATACAAAATCTCAGCAAACATATCAAAACTATAAAAAAGAACTAAACGGAAATTCTAGAACTGAAGACAATTTTAGATATGAAAATAAGAATTTAATTACTAGGTGGCATAACAGAAAAACTTGAAAATACATCAAAAAATATCATCCAATCTAAAGAAGAGACAAAAAAAATTAATTAAAAAAAATAAGGAGAGAAAAAAAGGAACTTGTGGGGAGAGTAGAGTAGAAAAATAAAGATATAATGCCCAAAAACTTTCCAAGTTTGGTAAAACACATCGATTTATAGGTTCAAGAAGCTCAGCATATCTTAAGCAAAGTAAATATAAAGAAAAACACATGTAAGTCATCATAAGCACATAGCCATAAACCAAAAATAAAGAAAAATTCGCAAAAAGTAGCCACAGAAAAACAACATATTACATTTAGAGTAACAGTGATTCAAATGATCAGTGACTTATCAAAATTTCCAGAGTCAATAAGAAAGTCCAACAAGATCTTTAAAGTGCTAGAGAAAATAAAAACTGACAATCTAGAACTTTATACCCAATGAAAATATCCTTCAAGAATGAAAGCATATTAAAGACACTTTTAGTTAAAAAATTTTTAAGTGAATCCATGAACAGATATGCACAATAAAAAAATGACAAAAACATGATTCAGGCTAAAGAAAAATGATAGATGAAGACTTCCAGCCAAGGTGGAGACATAGGTAGATGGGCTTTGCCTCCTTGCTCAACCATAGAAAAAATTACAACTAGGTCTCAAAACAAATAACACTCAGAACCGTCATAAAACTGAGCCATATAGAAGCCTGACAACCAAGGATTTATGGAAGCCACATTCATCTACCCAGGTATGAGGGGCAGAGATGCAGAAATGGGGCAACAAGGCAAGGAGACATGGTGTGGTGTGGGAGGGGGTGGCAATGGTAGTGGTGGAATGGGTGGTCCCACATTCACATGTGGTGGATAAAAATTGGAAGGGATACCTTGGAAGCAAGCGATCCCAGCGCCAGGTCAGACCACACAGGCCAGGGTTCTAGCACCAGGAAGATAAATCCCTAGAACTTCTGGCTATAAAAACCAGTTGGGGTTGGGGTGGCAGAAGAAACTGCTGGTTTTTCAGGAGAGTCCGTTTAAAGGACCCACATGAACTTAGAATGTACATAAACCCACCCACTCTTGGATTCACCACCAGGGCAACAGCTGGAAGGGTGCCAGTCACACACAGGAAGTGGTTGAAGTGACTGGAAATGGGGCACGTGCCAGGCAAGTGTCCAGAAACCAGGCAGCAGCAGTGTCCAGTCTCTGAGTCCTCTCCCCACACAGAGCCACAAAACAGTGAAGCAGGTTGTCCCACCCAGGCGAATACCTAAGGCTCCACCCCATATAACTGAACACGTACACTAAGACAGGGAGTCAAAGCAGCTCTACTTAACACACAAAAACAAACACAGATTAAGGAGAAAAAGAACTAAACAGAATAGAGATAGCCAACCTATCAGATGCAGAGTTCAAAACACTGGTGATCAGGATACTTAGAGAACTCACTGAGTACGGCAACAACATAAAGAAAGAAATGAAGTTTACACTAAGTTAAATAAATAAAAATCCACAGGGAACCAATAGTGAAGAAAAGAAAGCCAGGATTCAAACTAAGAATTTGGAACCTAAGGAAATAAGCATTAAACTAGAACAGAAAGAAGAAACAAGAATTCAAAAAAATGAGGATGGTATAAGAAGCCTCTTGGACATCTCCAAATGTGCTAACATCCAAATCATAGGGCTGCAAGAAGGAAATGAGGAAGAAAAAGAAATTGAAAACTTATTTGAAAAAATAATTAAAGAAAACTTCCCTAATTTGGTGAAGGAAATAGACATACAAGTCAAGGAAGCACAGAGGGTCCCAAACAAGTTGGACCCAAAGAGGACCACACCAACGCACACCATAATTAAAATGCCAAAGGTTAAAGATAAAGAGAGAATCTTAAAAGCATCAAGAGAAAAGCAGAGAGTTACCTTCAAAGGAGTTCCTAGAAGACTATGAGCTGATTTCTCAAAAGAAACTTTGCTGGCAAGAAGGGGCTAGCAAGAAGTATACCAAGTGATAAAAAGTAAGAACCTACACCCAAGATTACTCTGTCCAGCAAAGAGAGATAAAGTGCTTCCCAGACAAGGTAAAGCTAAAGGAGTTGATCACCACCAAGCCATTATTACATGAAACGTTAAAGGGACATATTTAAGAGAAAGGAGATCAAAAGTA